TTAGCACTTGCCCTGTGCACGCAATGCTTTGCAGCTGTTCGCGCGGGCGGTGTGTGTGTAGGTACTGCGTTTATTCCCATTGCTAGGGGCTTGCTTGAGCGGGCAGGAGTTTCGCTGTCTCGTGCCGCGTGTCGCTCGCTTGTCCCTCTCTGATTTCAGGGGCCAGGTCTGCGCGGGAGGGAGTGCGTGTGCTCCCTCCGCATGCCGTTGGCCTGCCTGCCCGCCCATCGGGGCTTTTGCGGGCCTCTGCCGTCGGCCTCCTAGTGGGCGCTCCGCCAGCGCCCGCCGCGAGCCTCAATGAGGTCTTCGCGCTCGCTGCTAGCTTCGCGTTGTGCAGTCTCGCGCAGGTAGTCGCTTGGGCCTTCTGCGCTCGGATGCCCCTCCCTCCGTAACATTCGAGTTTGTCCCCCGGCCTCGGCTGGGATCTGGAGATGGCGGCGTGGATCCCCCCCCCCCAAAAAAAAAACGGATGGCGGTCGCGATGGAATGCGGAGTAGCCGATGTCGGTCAGACGGCCACGCAACCACCGAAGAGGCGCTTCCAGGGATTTCCAGCTAGCTCTCTCTGGCTCTGTCGTTCACAGGCTTGGCTCTTACCCACAAGGGGAAGAGATGGCGAAGCGGAGTATCTGTCGCTCTGCTAATACTCTGTTCCCAATCTTTGATGATGGTGGAACAGATGGCGTCCGACATTGAGAGCAGCTGCTGCTGGCTGAGAGGCTGCGCGGCATCGGCAAGCAAGGCGTCTTCGTGCGTTTGCGCTCTGGATCCAGGCCTGCGTCGCCAGCCGCAGCCCGAACTGCGCGGTCGACGGAAGTCTCTGCGGCCCAGCCGGCACTTGGATCACGAAGCTGCTGGATTCCGAGAGGTCGAGACCCGCTGGCCTCTGGGCCGGCATCGGGCAATCGGGCCGCGCGTGGGCCTTGTCGACAAAATCGCCGAGGGTGTTACTGATCGGGGAATATACAGGACCGATTGGGTTTTGCGAGCACGAGGCGCGGGGCTCTTGGGGGCGACCAGCCCGAGGGGGGGCCCGCGGAGGAAGCCGGGGCCCCCGATCCTGGGCGGGGAGAGATGGAAAGCGCCAGCGGCAATCATCGGGGCTCTCTCCAGATCCTGCTGCACGGCGATGTCGGCCAGCAAGCCTAGGTTGACCTCCCCGAGACCGCCAGTGGGCTTGAAGTAGACGCGAATGATCCCCAACCTCGGTGGGCCTGCGATCTCCACATGCAGACCTGTATTCGGACAACTCATACTTGAAACGCCACATTCGCAATTCGCTCGAGTCAGGATCGCAACTCCACTTGCAATCTGCTGATTGCAGTTGAGAGCTGCGGGTGAGATGTGCGCCAACCAACCCATGGACTGGCGCCGTTGAATTTGCTGCGAACTGACACCCCCATATCTGCGCTTGTGTTCCCGGGCTCAAATCAAAGAAGAGTCACGCGCGTGTTTGGGCTTGAGGAGCTGCTTGATAGTAGGCCAGCAGCTGCCATTGGAAGTGACGAGCCCGAGCTGGCTGAAGAGGCGGCGTCTTGGGCTGCACGGCCGCGCCCCTGGCGGCATCCGAAGAGCCTCTGATCTTCTTGGCGCGGCCGGCGTCGATGCCATTGGAAGACATGGAGCTGGCCACCCTCGAGAGGCTATCAGCTGCGCGCCGACGGCCTGCAAGATTACGTGGCATCTCGAGTCCTCGTCGTCGAGCCCCGCGGCCGCGGCTGCCTCGTCCTCGCCGCTGTCGGTAGACCAGGCTTCCGCAGCCATGCGATCGTCGCTGCCCACCCCTCTCGCGGCGGTGGCTGTGGGGGGCGCTGGCCACGGCGCTGAGCCGAGCCTGCTCGCGGGCGACGCCGCGGTCGCCCCCTCTGCGCCGCCGCCCGGGGAGAGCCGCGGGCGCGGGCGCGTCCTTGGCCATCGCTGCGTTGTGCTTCTCGGCGAGCTCCGCGAGCAATTCCCGACCTCCTGGGCCTTATCTTCCATGTCTGTGAGCTCGCTGGCGTAGGTCGCGAGCTTACTTGTGATGGAATTGGTTTGGCTTGAGAGCTTACTTGTGATGGAATCGATCTGGCCTGAGAGCGACAGCGCTTGCTGATTCAAGCTTTTGCCGCGAAGAGATTGCAACTTCGCTTGTTTGACACACTTGAGCGCGTCAAGGTACTCTGTCTCCTTCGCTCCCACCCACTCGCGCCAGAATGTAACCTGCGCCCGCGCCAGAGCCACAGGATCTGGGGCCTCGTCTGGTGCTGGAGTCTCAGCGTTGTCTGACTGCTGGGGAGGGCGGGAGCGGGCTCGACAAGGGCGGAAAGCGAAGCACTGCCGTTGCCTTTGTTCCAGTCTTTATTGGAGCCAGACTCCCTGGAAAGTGCGGAGCCACATGGAGAACACCATTGCTTGCCGCTCCATTCCCAGCCGTTGCAGCCACAGCAAGCGAAAGACGAGCGAGCCATGGCGGCAGCAATGTGCGGCGCGGGGGAAGCATTGTTTCGGTGGCCGAAACAGGTCCCTGCGGGCGGCTGTATGGGCAGCATCGGGAGCAGGGGACAACATACGGCGCTGTTGCCCCTCTCGAGGGGCGGGATTCCCGCAGATTGCAAGTTGAACCACAATTGCCACGGGCGAGGAGGAGGAGAGGGAGGAACAGGAGGAGCATAACCGTTTGTCTCCTCGGGGGCGGGCGTCTGGGAGGCGAGGGGGAAGGGTGGGGCCTGGGCCGAGATCGGGGCTGGGGCCGAGGTTGCGGCCAGGGCCGGGGCTGGGGCCTGGGCTGGGGCCAGGGCCGGGGCCGGGGCCGGGGCCAGGGCCGGGACTTGGGCTGGGGCCGGGGCCAGGGCCGGGACCGGGGCAGGCGCAGGGGCCAGGGCCGTGGATGGGGCCGGGAAAAGGAGACCACCCCCGTGTCCCCATTCTTCACAAGGGAGGGGGCGGGGGGGGATGTCAAAACCCCCGGGGCCCCTCGCTGGGCCGACGCCCCGCGGGACACCGCCGGGACCACCCAACGGGATCCCCGGCGGGGAAGGGACAAAAGGAAGGGGCTCCCCTTTCTGACGTAATTGCGACATTGTTCGATCCCCCTGTTTGTTCGATTTCCCTTACGACGACGACGATTCAAACGAGGCGGGCGTAGCTCGGTTTGGGTTGGGATGGCCTCGCTCCGAACGGCCTCACACACGCCGACTGGGTCTGCGGATTCTATTACTTAGGACGGGGTGCCCGTTTGCCTCGTTCGACACGCGGCCAACATGCCAGGGGCCCCGCGTGGCCACGAAGGCGTGCACGTCGGGGTGACCACATGATGCCTGGACGCCCGTCCGCCGCGCGCTGCCTCCCGTGTCTCTCGTCCGTTGTCCCCCCTCTTTCCTCCATCGTCCCTCCTGCTCCTTCCCGCCTCCTTCGCCCCTCTTCCTCTTCCCTCGTCGCTCGTGCCTCGTCCGAGCCAGGGGCGGACGGACGGACGGGCGAGGGAGCCTCCTTGCTTCGGCACGTCGATTCTCACGAATCGCGCTTCACGTTTTGATTGGCAGGGCCGCCCATGACAGGGGGGCTGGATGAGGAGGAGGAGGAGGAGCAGGAGGTCTTGGGGAATCCTGGAGGTTTCCTGGGGGCCTCGTGGGGCCTTCGAGGGGCATCCGGGGGCCTCTTGGTGCCCGACGGACGCCTCCAGATATTGTCGTGGGGGCTTGTTTGGGCTGTCTTGGGGCCGTCCAGACGCGCTGTAGGGTCGTCTTGGAGGCCTCTTGAGCAGTTTTGGGCCTTCTTCCGGGATGTTTGGGCCGTCTTGGGGCTGTCGGAGTGTTATTGAGAGGCCGTCTTGGGATTATCTTGGAAGCCCTTGGGGCGGTCTTCGGCTTTTCGAGAACGCGACAATCATCGAACAACCGACAGGGAATCACGATGATGGTCTCTTCGGGCACTTATTGCGGGCCTCTTGAAAACCGTCTTGGGGCCATCTTGGGCCGTCTTCGGGCCATTTTGGATCGACTGGGCTGGGGGCCATCTTGGGCCGCCTTGACGGTACACTGAGCCGTCTCGGAAGCATTTTGAGGGTATTTTGGGCAATTCTTATTGTTTGGGGGATCATTTTAAGGCCATCTTGGGCGGACAAGCCGATGGGAGATACCCCGCACGGTTGGTCGGCGGGATCGGCCGGGACCCCACTGGGAGTTTGCTGGAAGGGCTAGAAAGACATCGGACATTCAGCATGCCGACGCCCCTGCGCAGGCTACGAGGGCGGACTCTTGGATGCCCATGGGACCTCTTAGGAGGTCTCTCGGAGGCCTCTTGAGACCTCTTGAAAAGGCTTAGGGCTTCTCGGCGGCCTCCTGCCGGGCCTTTTTGGGGCCCGCTGGCTGCCTCGGGGGCCCTCTTTGGGGTGGAGGGTTCCACATGTGGGGCGACGAGATCTATGCATATCCACTGCTCCTGGCCAGGCCAATCCTGGGCCCAGGAGCGGTGTATACGCCCTCCTGGCCTGGCCAGGGAGGCATATATACAGCTCCTGGGCCCAGGATTGGCCTGGCCGGGAGCAGTGGATATGCATAGATCTCGTCGCCCTAACATGGCCCCCTCTCGGGCCTTCCTTTTGGTGCCTCATTGGGAGCCGCTTGGGCCTCCCCTTGAGGGCCTGGGGTGTCCTACGAAAGCTTCAGTTGTTGCTTTTACATTATTGTGGTTCCTTGGGCCTGCCCCCAGGACCTCCAAGAGGGCCCAACAGGCCTCCAAGAGTGCCGCGGAAGGTTCCCTTGAGGTCATCGTAGCACATGTGGGAAGTGGTGATTCCCAACCAGCCCCGCCAGCGACCTAGAGCGCCAAGAAGCGTCCGACAAGTTCCCGAATTCGGGCGCCTGGGCCGAATGTTGAGGTTTTACAGTGTTCCGTGCAGAGGGCTGGACGGGGGCCAGAGCACGCTCCTTTCGGCGCCTCGCGGCGTGGTGGCGGGCGTGCTCGCTTCTCTCACTGTCCCACTCCTCACTGCTATCGGGGATCGGGAAGCCAACGGTGCAGGAGGCCATCCCGCTCATGCGGGCGCGGAACAGAGAGCGGCTAGGTGCCAGGGCGTCCGGCCGGCCGGCCGGCGCGCGCACAGTGCACATGGTGAATTGCAAAGGCACGGGAATGGAGCTTCGAGGAGGTCCCCCGTACCTCGTCCCTCGTTCCCCCTCTCCCTCCCCCAAAAACAGCCCTCGTCTCGTCGTCGAGCCTGCCTGCCTCACCCCTCGTTTCTCGTGCCTCCCTCACCCCTCGTCTCTCGTCTCTCGTACCTCTTCCTCCTCCCTCTTCCGTCGCCCCTAGTACCTCCTGCCTCCTCCTTCCTCGTCCCTCGTCGCTTCCTCTCGTCCCTCCTCTCCTTCCCTCGCCCCCTTCTTCCTCCCTCCCTCCTTACTCTCTCGTCTCTTGTTCCTATTTGCTCTCTCTCTCTCTCTCCATCTCTGAGAGAGCGTGATCCACCGCCGCTCTACTGTGGAAAATTCCCCCCCCCTCTTCCTCCGGAACCTGGGGTTCCCCCCCCCTCCGAAACTCCCCCCCCTCCTGCTGGAACCTCCCCCCCCTTTCCTCCCGGCAAACCCCCCCCCACACCCCCCCCTCCAGAGAACCGGGGTGGGTTATACCGGTTCGAACCCCCCCTCCCCCTCTGGAAAACCGGGGTGAGTTACTACCGGATCGAACCCCTCCCCCCCCCCTCCGCAAAACCAGGGGAGGTCATTACCGGTTCGACCCCTCCCCCCCCCTTCCCCCTCCAGAAAACCGGGGGGGGTCACTATCGGTTCGAACCCCCCACCCCACCCAAGAAAACCGAGGGGGGTCACTACCGGTTCGAACCCCTCCACCCCCCACGCTCACCGCCGACGAACGACTCCTGGGTCCCTACCACCGTCCGCACCACATCCCCCACCGCTGTCCCCTAGCACCACTGTCCTCACCACCACTGTCCCCACTGTTCCCACCACCGTTCCCACTAGCTCCACCAGTAGTTACTCCCACTGTCGCACTGTCCCCACTGTCCCCACCACTGTTCCCACCACGGTCCCACCTCTCCCCACTTTCCCCACGGTCACAACCACTATCCCACTGTTCCTACTGTCCCACTGTCCCCGCCGCTGTCCCACTGAGCTATCCCACTGTTCCCACCACACTGCCCCCACTGTCCCCACCACAGTCCCCACTGTGTACCTCTGTCCCATTGTCCCACCGCCGTCCTCGCCACCACCCTCACTACTGTCCCCGCCAAAGCTGTCCCCACCCCACTGTTCCCACCATTGTCCCCGTTGTCTCCACCAGTGCCCACACCTATGTCTCACTGTCCCCACTCTCCCCACCATTGTCCCACCACGGTCCCACCTCTCCCCACTTCCCACGGTCCCCACCACTGTCCCACTGTCCCCACTGTACCCATCACTGTCCCACTGTCCCCGTCGCTGTCCCACTGTGCTGTCCCACCGTCCCCACTGTCCCCACCGCTGGCTGTCCCACTTTCCCCACTGTCCCCACCACTCTCCCCACTGTACTACTGTCCCACCACAGTCCTCACCACCGCCTTCACCACTGTCCCCACCACTACCGTCCCCACCACTGTCCCACTGTCCCCACCACTGTCCCGCTGTCCCCTCACCACTGTCCCCACCACTGTCCCCACCGTCCCCACCACTGTCCGCACAACCGTCCCACTGTCCCCGCACCACTGTCCCACCACCACCGTTTTCACCATCGTTCCAGTATTCCCACCATTGTCCAACTGTCCCGAGGAGCGGGACTCGTTTGCCGGAGGCGAGGGGGGGGGTCGAACCGGTAGTGACCCCCCCTTGGTTTTCGAGGGGGGTGGTTCGAACCGGTAGTGACCCCCCCCCTTCTCATGATGGACTGGGGGGGGAGGGGAGGGGTTTGAACCAGTAGTGACCCCCCCTCCCGGTTTTCGAGGGGGGGGAGACGGGTTGGGAACCCTCAGTGACCCCCCCCCGGTTTTCCGCCAGCAGCGGTAGAAGACGCTCTTTCCCATCTCTGGATCGATTATTCTTGAACCCCGCTTGCCATTTCTTATTATATCTCATGGAGAAATCCTGGGAGGCTTGTCCAAGGGGGGTTGTCCGGGGGGGTCCTTCTTTTTGCGGGGTTGTCCAAGGGGTTGTCCGGGCCGCGTTGTCTTGCCAGCACGTGCGCATGTCAGTATCACGCATACTATCAAAAGCATGGAATTACCAGGGAAGCCCAACCCGAAATGTCGCCTCTCTTTCGCCCTTCCCCTCCAGTCGGTTCCTTGTCTCTCGTGTTTCACTTCCGCTCCCGTTCGCACGCCCCCCTTTACCGCGCTTCCCCAAACAGCTTTGCTGACTGTGATCCCGTTGCGGAGAAGCTAGTTCTTGACACGGGGCCAGCGCTCAGAGACATCCGCCAACATCGGGGGTGGTCCGGCCAGAGACGTCCTCGCAACTCTGGGTTCGGAGATGCTCTGAACTGAGGTGGGTGAGCACGCACAATTGGTATTGATTCAGTGCTGCCTGGCTTGACTGCAGCATTCGCCTGGATCAGGATCAGGAGCAGCTGGAGCGTGGAGCAGGGTCAGAAACAGCGGGCTCCGGAGGAGGAGGAAGGAGGAGGAAGAGGAGGAGGAGGAGACGGGGGTGGTGAAAGGTTAAGTTCGAGAGCAACTCAGCACTAACACTGTGCACCACCTGTCCGGTCCCGCCGCCCCGGTCAAATGCCAGGAGGAAGGGGGGGTTGAAAGACCGAGCGCGGGCAAGGACGCCCGGCGATTAGGGGGGATACCCCAGAGGGGGGAAATCGAGGAGGGGGGGAGAGGAACCGGAAGGTGGAGGAAGCGGGCGCGCGGCCGTGGGATTTGAGCCACCGACCCCCACCGTTAGGCGCGCACGCGCCCGCCTGGGGAGGCAAGGGGCGGGAGAAAAAAGGAAAGGGGGAGGAAAGGGAGGGAGTAACACACGCCGAACAAAAAAGAAAATGGCCGGGCAGGAGGGGCAGCTGACAGAAACTCCGGCGCGGTCGCGGCGCCCGTCGGAAGGGGATTGTAGCAGGTCCCTGGCGGGGGGCGCTATCCCGCAGGGCATCTCGGACAGGGCGCCGCGCCGCAAAGCATCGCGACTCCGAGCCTTTGGGAAGACGAGGGACAAAAGAGGAAAGAGGCGGAAAAACGGAGGAGCGGGACGAGGAAGGCTAGGCGTCGTCGTCACCCGAGGCTGACAGCAGCGGACAGCGCGCCCCCGTATTCGGGGAGCTCTGTGTGCCTACGCAGCACAACCCGCGCCATGGCCCTGCGAATGGCCGCAGAGAGCTGCTGGAACAGGCGAGCCTCCCCGGCGCCCGCCTCTTCTCAGAGGCGTCCGTCGCTGGACCGAGCCAGGCGGCGGAGGGCGTCCGCGCCCGTGGGGCCCATCCGCCCGACGGTTCCGCCACCAGGGGGACGAACATTATCCCCTGCCGCCTGCACTGGCCTCGGTGTCCAAGTGTTCACGCTTGGTCGCCTCGTACGCTTGAGCCGCGCGCCCTGGGCCGAGCCGAGCCATGCCGAGAGCAGCCTGCCGATGCGGCGAAGATACCGCAAAATCGAAGGCAGCAGGTGCCCTTCGGAACCAAGATTCAGCGAGCAAAGAACGGTATGACATAAACTGTTTCGCTGTCGGGGGCGCCTGTCCCTGGGCGGCTGGAAAGTTGATACCCCTACGGTGCCACCGTAAGGGTATAAAGTTTCCAGCCGCCCAGGGACAGGCGCCCCCGACAACGAAAACAAATCTTTTATACCGTTCTTCGCCCGTTAAGAGATGGTACGTTGACGTCCGCAGGGCGACGCCCGTTGACCTGAGTGTCATGAAGCCGGGGCGGCAAGAGCCCAGGGCGCTCCAGCTCCGGGTTGAAGCAGGCCGACGAAGCAAAGCAACCGACCAGGTTTCGGGCGGCGCTGTGTCGCAGCACCCGGTCCCCAGCGCCTGCGCAAAGACCCGAGTGGCGGCCGTGCCTGTCGCACGCGCCGTCGCAGCACGGGCAGTAGTGCTCGGACTCGCAGACGGGCACTAGGAGCCGGCGCTTGACCACATTCACAAACTCCTCTGGTTCGAAGAGCGGCCCGAGGTTCTCGTTCGGCGACGCCTCCAGGAAACCGCTTTCGCCGGGGAGCTGTTCGGACTGGATTTCCATTAGGTCTGACTCGCTCAAGCCAGCGCAGAAGGCCTTGTTGTCGTGGTCGTCCAAAGCAGCAGATGAAGGCCCTTCTGCGTGGGGCCCTCGAGGGTTTCTGGGCGCGCTCCGCTCGCCCTTGGCAGCCGGGCGTTGTAGGCGAGGGGCGCCTGTCCGGCCCTCGTGCTCGCGTCCTCTGGCGCTAAGCTGGGTCCAGCGCGGCGCAGAGATCTCGGGTCACTGCCAGGCTCGCCAGGTAGGCGCCAGGCGCGTGGGCCTCCAAGCGCCGCGAGCCTACGCCTGCAAAAGCCAGTCCGCGGGTCGCCCGGTGACGCTGCGAGTCTGTTAGGTCCACCGCCGGGAGGTCGGCGAGCGCGCGACGCTGGCACAAGTCGAAGCTGCCGAGTGCTTCCGAGCGCAGGGCTGGCGGGGCCGCGCGGGCGGCGTACGCGAGTTTGCTGAAGCTCGCGCAGTAGCGTGGCAGCACGAGGCCCATCCTGCGGATGAAGGTCTGCGCGTGCCGCCAGGGTGGGTTTGGCCATGTCGCCTTGTCTGCTCTCTTCTTCGTGACAGCCTCGCAGTGGGCCTGGTCGCCGATGGGCGCGCCCAGCAGCTTGAACCCACTCCGCGCGGCGACGCGGCTAACGCCAGTTCCAGTCTCCGTTAGCAATGTGGCGGGGGAAAGTCAGCCGAGGTCTGCGGGGGCACGCCCGGGCGGGGCAGCGATCTTTGGCTTGCCAAGGTTCAACTCCAAACCGCGCTCCGGGCACCGGGCTCGTAGTAGAGCCAGCGTTTGCGCCGCGGTGTCCGCGAGGCCCGCCAGGGGGCCGTCGCCCAGGTAGAACGCGCGCAGGCCCGAGGCTCGCTGGCCAGCCAGTTCCCCCAAGACGTCGCTCACGGCCAGGGCGGAGAAGAGCGGCCCCA